TCAACTGTTATTGTAAATTAACAGTTTTAGCTGTTTATCTGTGTTAAAGTTGATTAAAGAATTGTTCTTTAGGAAATATTTAAAAAGTTCACAAACTGTTTGCACAAATCTTATATATGTATTAATCCTTCATAATATTTTCTTAAAGTGCTAATTATGTAAAACATAATTAGAATATATTTTTTGCAAACAAAATATCTTTTTATTTATTATAAATAATATGATTGTAGAGTCATATTATTATAATGTTTTAACAAATTTAAGTAATTTGACCATGTTTTTTTTTTTCTGTTTAAGAAAAGACAATTCTCCAATTCTTTGTAACAACTTTAACTAAACTATTCAGAACAACATTTTCAAGACAAAGTTTGAATAGTCGTATTTTTGAAACGATTAGAAATTAGATGACAAAATTTTTGGGAATATTCATAACTTATTAAAATCCTTGAGTGGTGTAAAAATTAGCAAAATCTAAAACTTAAAGTGGCATGCAGTAGATGTTTTTACATTGAATTGCTTTTATGTTATGAGGGCAATTTAATGCTTATTTAAACCTTTTAGCTGGTGTTTTTATTTTCAAAGTTTTTCAATTGTTAAATTTTTTAATCTTGTGATAATTTGTCTGAATCTGTGTATGTAATCTAGACTTTTGTTATTAAACCACACTTTTTTAAATAACATCTTCGGAGGCTAAGCTTCCCCAGTTTTGCTTGAAATTTTTTGTATTAGTTTTTATTACTATATTTTTAGTTTTTTTCTGAGAGTAATGCTATTGAATCATTCCTCATTAGCTTTCTTGGTAAATTGTTCTGGAGTAAATCTAGGTGTGACAGTTTGCTTCCCTTTTTTATAAGCTGATCAAAAAATTTTTGATAATTTTTTAATAAAAGTCAGCTTTTGCTTCCATTATGTGCTAAATGAAACAAGCCAGGTCTCGGCCAAAAATATCTGCTAAAGTTATCTGCTAAATGAAACAAGCCATGTCTCAGCCAAAAATATCTTTTTTAAGTTATGTCTTTTCTTTACTAATGTGTTTGCAGATCTGAAAAATGATGTCACAAAGTAAGCCAGATTTTAGCTCATTTTGTGACAGATCTTTAATTGCTCTTTTGATTATGGTATAAATTCACCTTTGTAATTGATTGGATACACTTACTTTAAATAGCTCATCTTTAATTCGAAACTAACTAAAGCAAATATTTTCATTAAGCAAACAGAAAAATAATTCTTTTGTACTTTTTTGCAGCCAAAACAAACTAATTTTGGCGTTCTTAAGTTATCTAGTTTACAGTCAAAGTAGTTTAAACAATTAAACCTGCATTATCAGAATTAAAACAGTGGTCAGGTGAACTTAATTATGCAAAATTAAAGATTTTATCCCAGTATCTAATAGCATAGTTCAAAGTAGACTACTAGTATTTAGGTTAAGACCATCTAAATTTTGTTTCAGTAAATATTGTATTTTATATTTGCATAAAAAGGTGAGGTTTAAGCTAAATCACAGTTTTAATCTACATTGTCTGTGCTGCAATAATGTATATGGAATTATTACCAACAATCAATAAAACAAAAACCTAAGTAAATAAAAGTTTCAAATAAAAAGCAAATCTGCTTTTGTCTAAATTTGATTTGAGGTTTAATTTAAAACTGATAAGATTAATCACAGTTTAGGAGTTCACCATTTCAGTTTACTAAGCTACAAGAAAGTGATTTAAATTGTAATAGTTATTAAAATAAAAATAAAACAAAGTTACTGTTATCTAACAAATATAATGATACTAAAATATATTATAACTAAGTAGAGAATAGATTTAATTTCACTATATATTTATTCTGATATTCTCGTGATAATAATGATTGTACAAATAATTTTTATTGTGTAAAATATTACTCAATTTCCAAGTTGTTTTCAAGTTATTTTGATTTCAAAATCGCAAGACACACATTCTTTTAAATGTTTTTAAGTGAGGTTATTTTTACTTTAGGTTTTTTTAAAAAGCTTTTTTGTTCATCTATAAGTTATATGTTTGTTTTTTTTTATGCACCAAAAATCAATTTGAGGAAATCTATTTGTAAATTATGATCCTTTTTAAAGTAAAGCAGATATATATTTTTTTTTATTACAATTATTATTTATATATAATTTTTTTTAGTTTCTCTCAGACAGAGATAAAAACCTTTGTTAAGATATTTTTGTTTTTAAATTAACTTGTGTTTGCCTAAAACAGATCTCAATTTGTGTGTTAAGTAAATATTTTGAATCTGATCACAAACCATCATCTGCAAAAAATAGCACAATCATAGTTCGGACAAATTGTTCTTAATAAATTTGCCAATTAAGACAAAAGTTTTTGTTTTTTTTATTGGATATAATTAGTTCATTAATTCACTTAGTGAAGCAGTTTGTGGACTATGAATTTAGTTTGGAAATAAGTTCTCATCCAACTTAAATTTATAGAGGATGCAAGGCATTTTTTTGAACAGAATTGTAAGGCCTTCAGTACAGCTGTAGCTTTACAGATAGCCTATTGACTAGATGACTATTGATTTATTTTTTGAATGATTATTATCAAAATAAAATAAATAAAACAAGAAGGTACATTACGACAAGAAGATGTTTAAAAAAAAACAGAAAGTACATCTGCTCTTGTGGTATATTCTCCATCGAACAAGAAAAGATAGATCCATTTTTTTAATTTTTTATTGTTTTTTTGAAGATCAAAAATTTTATAGAAAATATTTACTTAGAACAAGATAAAAGAAAATTGAATTGATACAATGTAAAGCAACACAAATATTGTCTTAATAATGTCTTCAAGGGAAAAACTATAAAAGTAGACTAACCTACATTAAATCAACTACATTAAAAAGACGCGAAGGTAATGACCTAATCCAACTTTACAAAATTGTAAAAAAAAATAGAAAATTTATAAAATAAATTCATTATCAGTTTTAAAAGGTAGTTTACAAATTTTATTCAACTTTTTATTTTATATCTAGTTTTTATTTGTGTAATTTTGTATTTGTATAACATCGACTTTAAACAACATCGACTTTAAAGAATAATTCTATGTTAAAGAAATATTACAATTTTTATTGTAATATTTTATCAACACAAAAATAAAAATGAATTCCTAAACAAAAAAAATTTTTAGTTTAAACTTATTTAATTGTTTTCATTGTTTCTTATTTTGCTACTGCAAAGTATTAATGTAACATCACTAAAAAAATTATCAAATAGTTTTTAATTCAAAATGGTTTTATTTATTTGGTTTTTTTATTATTTTACTTGTTGTAAATAACTTACCCAGTATTTTTTAATCTAAAATGGTGTTTTAAATAATTTTATGTGCAATACTAGGTTATTGGACTGAAGATGAACCATTGGACATAAAGTTAACAAAAACAAATTAAAACACATTCCCAGTTTTTTTTATTAAAAAAGCCCATCTTTTAGTATAAACAAAAATATTAGATTAAGGTTTACTCTCTTTTGACCTTTTTATAAGTAAAAGTAAATGCGTATTATTTTGAGATGCATGATAAAATAATGCATCACCTAAGGGCCTGATAGTATACATGCAGGTGTGAGCATGAGTCTGTGAGCATAAGAACTGTGTTTTATGTTATTTTTTGTGATGTCTTGGTCTTGATTTTCGTCTTAAAGTCTTATGACTTGGTCTTGAGCAATAATTAATTGTTCTTAGTTTTGGTCTTAGCTTTAAAAATTTACAAAAATTTTTTTTCAATAATAATCTTTTTTATTTTAAGTTTTTTTTTCATTTGATTTTAAACAACTTTTGTAGAAGAAGGTAAATAAAAGTAGATAAGTCTCTTCTTTTATTTACCTTAGCCTTAAAATTAAATCTTTTGTATTAATGATGTCATTTTTTGCTAAAATGGAATAGAAAAGAATATTTTTCTTAAATTCCTCCTCCTTCCTTCCATACATTAAAGTATGTTTTGACAAAAGTTTTTTTCTTATTTGCAGGTCTGTCACAAGGCCAATTCTTGTACACTGCTCAATTATAACAACAAAATCTTTATCTTTTAGTAATATTTCAGTTCTTTTTCTATCAAACTCTGATATTTCATCTTCTTTAGCATTGATTTTCTCAGTGCTTTCATATTTTTTACAAAACCTTTCCTTTTTCTTTTTTATTTACTTCTTTTTATTGTATGTCATTTCTGGATTCTTTTCATATTTTTTATGCATCATAGTAATATAATTTCGGTCCTAAAACAAGTTGGCATTGATTACCCATTTTACCCCAGAAGAGATAAATTTAAATAATTTTGTTAATAGTAGACAGAGCAACATGTAATTTCTGTAAACTTTCTAGCAAATTTTTGTTTTTGTTGATTATAAAGAAAAATTTTCTAAAGTCTTTAATAATCCTGAACATTAATTTTCTATGTCTCACACAACATAACATTACATAATATTATATTATTAACATATATCTAATAGAAAAAATTTATTGTTTACCAATGTGGTTGTGGTGAACTGGTGGAGCGCTTGCCTCATAAGCATGAGGTTCCAAGTTTGATCCCCACAACAGCCTTGGTAGTACAGCGCTGAACTTTGTCAAGGTTCGTGTTTTGGAGTTATAGAGTTAAGAGAGGGTTGTTCAATTATAGTAGCCTTTTTGACTGTAGTTACCTACTCTGCCTTGAGAAGGTTAACATTTCAAAAAAATATGTGTTGAATTTTAATTTTTTTTTTTTTTTTTTTTTGCTGCTTTTCTCATAAGCAGACATTTTTTCCTCATGAACAGACATGTTTTTGCATTGTAAAAATTAGAATAAAATCAGTTGTCATCATAAAATGTAAGTTGTTACATAGTTGTAATCATGAAAATCATACTACTTAATTTAAAGAAAAATGTTAATTTAAAATGGTTAAAATGCGAAAAATTGATTGACTTATTTGTTTCACATGTTGAGAAAATGAAGAAAGCTCAGGCTGACAAAATTAAGTCAATATTTGTACTTTTTAGCAACCAAAACAAACAAATGTTTGTATTCTACGGTTTATAATCAAACTTGCATAGATTAGGAATGTAACAGTGGCCAGGTAAAACTAATTATGAATATTCAAAAGAATCAAGATTAATTAATGCAATAGAAAAAAATATTTTTTCTTTGTGTATGTGTGTTTAGAATATTTCATATACTTTGTAAAAATACAAAACGAAATAAAGCACATTCCCTCATACTTTGATATGTTTGTTTATACTATAACATTGGGTTTTTTTTTAAATTAAAAGAGCCAATTTTATACTATAAACAAAAATTATAGAGTAGGGTTTACTCTATTTTGATGTTTTCATAAGTAAAAGTAAAATGGGTTTTTTTCCGAGATGTATAAATGGTAAAATAAATCATCAGCTAAAAGTGTAATAAAATATATGCGCATGTTAGCAGGAGTCCTTATTGTGTTGAGCATCTATAAGTTTTGGTCTTGGTCTTGTCTAAAGTCTTGTTTTTGGTCTTGGGTTTACTTTGTGATGTCTTGGTCTTATGTTTTAAATCTTTGTCTTTAGGTCTTAAGTCTTGGTTTTGAGAATTAATTATTTGGTCTTAGTTAAGTTTAGTTTTAGTCTTTGCCTTACCCATCTTGACTACATCTCTGGTACATATAAGGCATTTTTTATTGTTTATTTAAAAATACTATTGTTGTGCAGAATAATGTAATAAAGTCTCCTAGCTTTGCAGACATAACATCACACAAAGAAGATAAATCTCTTCTTTTATTTACTGTAGCCTTTAACACTTTGTCAAGGTTTCTGTTTTGATAATTTAAAGGAATCAAGATTAAATAATGCAACAGATAAATAATATATTTATATTTATATTATCTTATGTGAATTCTGTAAAAATTCATCATTTATTTCAATGCAATTTTTCAAAGCACATGACTTGGTTAAATGTTACCAGTAATTTTTCTTAAAATTTGGCTTCAATTGTGCATGTTTGTATTTGTTTGAGTAAATCAAAAAATATAATGCGTTTTGCAAATTTATGAAAAAAAATTATATCCTGCATTTTTTTTAAATACCTTTTGCATTTAACTTATTTTATGATAAATACTTGATAAATAACCATAACTCTAGAATGTAGGGTAAGTAAACTTATACATTTTAAAATAATCTTTGTATAAAACAATTGTTAGCACATGTAATAAAGTTTCATCTTTTAGATTTATTTTCTTTCTATTTATTTATAAATTGTTACAAAAGATACTTTTACTGAAATAACTGAATATTTTTTCTAGTAGATTGTTTGTTAACTATTTTACTTTTAATGGTTAATGTTTTTTTTTCTTATTGGGTATGAATAAAGTTAATTCTGTTGAAATGACTTCTATTGATAAATGATTGTTATGATTATGTTTTTAGACAATTCTGTGTGAAAATTTGCAATTTTTTTTTTTAATGCAACTCCAAAGTTTCAGATTTTGTTAATTTTTACATCACTTAAAGAATTTGATAATCTCTAATGAATATTCCCAAAAATTTTACATCTAATTCCAAACCTTTTCAACAATATGACAATTTAAACTTTTTATTATGTTGCTCTGAATAGTTTAGTTATAGTTTTTACAAAGAGTTTTATTTTTTATTTTCAAATTTACAAAAATTTGTTACTTATAATTCAGGAATTGTGAAAAAAACGGTGGTACTCCTTAGAGCTTAATACACAGAAGTTGGTGTTGAAAAAAATTTCCGAAAAATTTTTCCACCCACCCTAAGCTAATTAAGCTCCCCTCATTTATTCAATTTTACTTATATTAGAATCTTTATCTCGAATCTCAAAAAATTTCAACTATTTTTTGCTAATTTTTAAGACCGGTATATTTTTAAGGTCTTGAAAAATTAAAAACTATAAACTCACTAATAAGAAGAGAAGAAATTTCCAGTTAAGACTACCTTCTCCTGTCCCCTCCTTCCCTTCCTATCACTTCTCATTTATTACATCATAATAAAAATTCCCGTCCACCCCACATTGTATTACGGATCTGAGAGTAACTTGACATTAATAAAATGGGAACACATTTGACCATATCAAATTGTTTCTTTAGTTTAGATGCTGACTTGGTTTTATTGTTTCTTTAGAAGTTTGATCCAACCTAGGTAATATTTGTTGAAATATTACCTAGGATTACTTGAATTATAAAAGTGCAAATGTAAAAGAAGCTCAATTTTATTTTTTTTTTTTTTTTGACTTATTTGGTTGGAGTTATCAGAATCAATATAATTATGGACTTTCCTAAAACAGAAGTAAAGAGCATTGTATGTATGACAAATGTATGTATAAGCTTTATTTTATGTATGAGTATGTATGTATGTACTGTATGTATGTATGTATTTATTGTATTGTATGTATGTATTGTATTGTATGTATGTATGTATTTTCTCTATTGGTCAGTGGCAAACGTTGGTCAATAAAAAAATGTTGGTTTTTATTTTAATATATTCTATTTTTTCTTTATATTTCTATTTTGTCCTGGTCTCTGGTGTCCAGAAGCCTTAAACATGTTGGTTGACTTGATCCACAAAAAAGAAAAAAATTCATAAGATTTAATTAATTGAAACTTATTGTTTTTGAGCTTAAAGTCCCAGAGTCTTTGCTGCCATTATGCCTAAGGATTCAAGGTTCAAAAACTTTTTAATTTTACTTTATTAGAAGACCATATGCTTTTTTATATTTTTAGAGCTCCTGGATACTAAAAACTAGGAAAAAGTAATCTTTTTGTGTCTTTCAAACCGCAGTCCTTTTTGGAACTTTACATCCCTGAGTAAAAATGAATAAATAGGGGAAGGAGGTCCTAATAATTTTAGGTTGAGTAGGAAAATTTTCAACTTCTTGAGTAGGAACATCAACTTCTGTGTATTAAGCACTTACAAGTACTATCTTATTTTGCCTTTCATTTTTATAATTGTTCATGTTTCATAAATGTTTTATATCTTACAAATTTAATTTGACCATGTTTATTTTTTTTTTGTTATGAAAAAACCTCTCCAGTTCTTTGTAACAACTTTAACTAAACTATTCAGGACAAAGTTTGAATAATCATATCTTTAAAACCATTTGTAATTTTGCTTGGAATTATTTCTTTATTTAATTAATCGATCTGGAATAAATCTAGGTGTGTCAGTCCATCTTCTTTGCTTTTTGTAGGCGGTTTTGCTTCCCTTTTTTATAAGCTGAATTTTGATATTCTTTTATTCAGCCTCTGCTTTCATTATCTAGTAAATGAAATAAGCCAGGTCTTGGTCTAAAATATCTTTTTTTAAGTTTTCTTTGCTAATGTGTTTGCAGATCAGAAAAATGATGTCACAAAGTAAGCCAGATTTTAATTCTTTTTGGTATGTAAATGGTATAAATTTGCCTTTGTAATAAATTGGATACACTTAACTTAAATAGTTCATCTTTAATCCAAAAACTAACTAAAGCAAATATTCGTTCTCATTCGTTTTCATCAGGCGGTCAGAAAATTAACTATTTTGTACTTCTTTGCTGCTAAAACAAACTAATTTTGGTGTTCTTAAGTTATCTAGTTTACAGTCAAAGTAGTTTACAATCAAACCTGTATAAATCAGAATTAAAACAGTGGCTAGGTAAACTTAATTATGCAAAATAGAAGATTTTATCCCAGTATCTAATAGCATAGTTCAAAGTAGACTACTAGTATTTAGGTTAACACCATCTAAATTTTGTTATAGTAAATATAGTATTTTAGATTTCTATTCACTTAAATAGGTGAGGTTTAAGCTAAATCACAGTTTAAATCTACATTGTCTTTGGTACAATAATGTATATGGAATTAATATCAACAATCAATTAAAACAAAAACCTAAGTAAATAAAAATTTCAAATAAAAAGCAAATCTGCTTTTGTCTAAATTTGATTTGAGATTTAATTTAAAACTGATAAGATTAATCACAGTTTAGGAGTTCACCATTTCAGTTTACTAAGCTACGAGAAAGTGATTTAAATTGTAATACTTATATAAAATAAAAATAAAACAAAGTTATTGATCTAACAAATATGTTACTAAAATATATTATAAATAAGTTGAGAATAGATTTAATTTCACTATATATTTATTCTGATATTGTCGTAATAATAATTGTATAAGTAATTTTTATTGTATAAAACATTACTCAATTTCCAAGTTATTTTCTAGTTATTCTGATTTTAAAATCACAAGACACAGATTTTTTTAGATGTTTTTAAGTTAGCTTACTTTTACTTTAGGTTTTTTTAAAACGCTTTTTTGTTCATCTACAAGTTATATGGCTTTTTTTTATGCACCAAAAAACAATTTGATGAAATAATTTATAAATTAGTAAATACCTTTGTAAAGAGATTTTTGTTTTTAAATTAACTTGTGTTTGCTTTGACCAGATCTCAATTTGTGTGTTTTAAATACAAGTTTTGAATCTGATCACAAAGCATCATTTGCAAAAGGTATCACAAGTACATCATAGTTTAGATAAATTATTCTCAATAAATTTGTATGATAGTTTAAAATTTATTAATTTCATTTTTTTTAGGAATTAAGACAAAAGGTTTTTTTATTGGATAAGGTTAGTTTATTAATTCAATTAGTGAAGCAATTTATGGACCATGAATTAATTTGGATATAAATTCTCATCCAACTTGAATTTATAGAGGATGCAAGACAAAATCATACTTTTGAACAGAATTGTAAGACCTTCAGTAAAGATTTAACTTTACTGATAACCTTACTAGATGGTTTGTTTTTTGAATGATTGTTGTCAAAATAAAAAGTTAAGTAGAATGAAACAAGAAGATCTGCTCTTGTGGTATATGCTCCGTCGAACAAGGATAAATACATCCATTTTTTTATTGTTTTAATTTTCTATAAAAGCTTTGAATTTTCTATAAAAGCTTTGATCTTCAAAAAAATAATTAATTTTAGTTATTTTTTGAAGATCAAAGCTTTTATAGAAAATACTATTATTTTAAAGTTAGTGAATTTTTTAAACTTTTTAAGCAAATATATATTTTTTTTAAATCTCTTGTTTGTCACGTGTTTAACAAAAAAAAAACGTCTCTAAGCAAAAAGAAAATTAAGCAAAAAAAAGTTTTTTTGTGGAAGATATGGTTTATAACTGATATAAATATAAGTTTATATAATATAAAGTTTATATAATATAATTATATAATATAAAGTTTATATAATATAATTATATAATATAAAGTTTATATAAATAAACGTAACAAGACAAATGTCTTGTTACGTTTTAATAATGAGAAATTTTTTATGAAATTAGTTATATTATTTAATTTTTATTCGGTTTATTGTTTATTTTTATGTATAATGATATTAATTTACAAACTAATATATAATATACTAATATATAATTATATGTATACTAATATTAATTTACAAATTGTAAATTCTGTTTAAAAAACATGCGTTTCACTATATTTTTTGTGGTTTTTTCATTAGGTTTATTATTTAGATTACGCTAAGTTTAAATTACGTTTATATCGTCAGAAAAAATAACAGTAACTAAATTTTTTTTTATTACTTTTATTTTTCATTTTATTTATTTCACATCATTATACTTAATAGAATTTATAGTTTATTTTCTGTATAAAATAATGTATAATTTATTATTCGACGTGTTATCAAGCTTTAAACGTGATCTAAACGTTTTTTTTTTTTTTGTGAATTCACAAATACTTTCATTTTATATTAAACGGTTGCTATAGTTACGATATAATTCTATAAAACTAAGCGGTTGATTTAAATTTTTTGTTCGAATTTGTGAAAAGATTTTTATAAAGTTCGATCATCGAGTTTTATGTATATAAAACCAAACGTTTTGTTTTTTTGGAAAAAGTACGAAATTATTCTGTTACCATTGTTTATTAAACTTCACACTGGTCACAAATACTTTTAAAAATTCGTAAGTAAGTATTCTTCAGTTTTATATTCGTTTATTTGTTTTTATTAAAAAAGTTTATGTTTTAAAACAAAATTTATATTGTTACAAAACCTTAACTTACGACGACTGTTTTTGTGTAAATTTGATGAAATTAAGTATTTTTTTGTTGTTGATATATTAGTTAAATTATATTATAAATATACAAGATTAAGGTGCTAAAATGTGTAAACCTTTAAATTTAATGTAACATTTTTTATAATATTTTGATTTCTATCTCTAAGCTTATTTTTTTTAGTTATAATATAGCAAATAGATACGTGTTTTTATAATGTTCAAACTTTTTTTATATTTAATCTCTTGGAAATGCGATAATTGAGTTTGAATGAGTGAGTTTTTTTTATGGAAAGGTAAATCGAAAATAGATTTAGAATATTATAAATTAAGATTTAGAAAATATGTTAAAAAATAAATCAACTTGCCTTCAAAATGTTAGTGGTGCAAAAAAAAAAATGCATATTTATAAACCTTGAAAAAAATTCTTTTATGAAGTATAAGGTAAGACCTTCGTCACAAAAACTCTATGCTACAAAAAATATATTTTCATCGCGTAGAATTTATTGATTTACAAATTTTTTACTTTAAAAAATGTTTGGCATGCTTTAGTATGCAAAAAAACTAGTACAGTATGATAATGGTATGTAAGTACCTATGCCATACTAATTTTAAAACATACTGAGCTATTATTTAATTGCATTTTTACCCGTTTATTTTTAATCGTTCGTCTAAGTTTGATATTTTAGAAAAAACCTGTTTCTTTTGCTAAAAGTTTCAGAGAAATATGATTTACATGAAACAATTGTGAATGAGGAATTATTTTCTTGTTTGCGTTGAAATGATTGTTTCATGGATTTAATTTTTACTTTTTAAAACAAAATGTCGTTTGATGTGATGTTATTGTAATTTTTAAATTCAATCGGTTTATCTTATGTTTGTTGCTTGTTTTTATATATTATATATATTACATTTTGTAGCTTTAATGATGAAATTATGTTGATTTTAATGTGTAAATGTCTCATAATTATGAATTTTTTATGTGTGTGAACAACCGTTCTAATTTTTGTTATGTTATTTTAAATATGCTTAATTTATAACTTATATTTAAACTATTTTGTTTTAGAAATATGATAAATTAACAAAATTAAAAAATTGTCTTTTTTATTATATTTTATATTACATTTTTATATATATTTATTTTTCATATGAATTATTTTATCTAAAGGTTTCACACTTTTATTATTTTTTTATATAATTTTAATTTAATATAAATTTATGTATATAATATTATTGTATAAAATATAGTTCATTTAATAAAAATAAAAAATTGTATGTTTTTTATTCAATCATTAGTTAGTAAAAATTATATGTATTAATATGTAGAGTATTATAATGTATATAATGTTATAATTTTGATTATTATTTTTATTATTTGTTCATTTTTATAATTAATATTTAATTTTACTTTAGATCGTCTAAGTAATGATTTATT